TAATATATATGTAATTTAAAAGTTGATTAATTTTCTTATAATTTCTAATGTGTATAAAATAATAAAAAAATTTAAAAATTGATGGTCGAGAATCCGGGATGAGTTTTAGACGATGAATATTAGGAGATTCAAGATTCATTTATGACAATTTTATTACTTCTTAAATTAACTTAAAAAATAATGATTTGAACTAATTTTGGTTGAATTTAATTCAGTTTTTTTTTTTAATTGTATTCAATTAGAATTTACATACATTAATGATAGAAAAGAGATGGCAAACCAATAAGTTTTAAACCAACCTTCATTTCTACTTAAAAATATAATTAATTTAATTCAAATGATTTTTTTAATAAATCTTAAACATAATCAAACAATTCAATTAGCTTATGTAATTTTATAGATTAAAATCGAAATAGAATGGTCATTTAATTTAGTCTAATATGATTTTCTTACCACTCCCAACTATTTGGCCAGCACTCCAGCACTGACTAAATTAAAACTTCCTTTAAGAAAATTTTTTTATTAATTTTTAGTTAAAAAATTTTTTAACAAAATTATTTTAAAAAGCAATAACAAAGTTATTCCAAGCAAAATTTAAAATTTAACTGAGTGCTATTATATTTCAAAAAAAAAAAAAAAACATAAAATCAGGACAATTTGTTTTTACCTTTTAGCTCAATAAGAACTGGAAATTGCAAGATATTTGCTTCAAAAGTGTAAAATTAACTCATTTAATTTATTATTATTTCCCTGCATCATTACTCAATTCTTCTTAATAGAACACAATAAGGAAAAAAAAATTCTTTACACCATTACTCTTTTTTTCTCTGCTTTTTGTTTGTTTTAAGGCCAAAGACTAATACTGAAATCATTTGATATCACACTCATGATATTGCAATCAAAGCAGGAGTAGAGTAATCATTTGGTTTTAGGTACAAATATGCAGATTGCATTTCACAATAAAGTTATATACAGTATAATACATGCACAATAGTAGACCATATGATCATAAGGAAATGGCAACTTCAAAGCTGAGCAGCCAAGCAATTATGTAATTTATTTAATTCATCAGGGTCTGCCAGATTACCAGTAGATGCTCAAGAAAGCCCCTCTGGTTGGAGATAGCAGGTTGAGGATGAAAGTACTTGTAAACCCTGTGTCCAAAGTACCTAACAGTGTATGGAGATCCACATTAGTAAAAACAAAATATTTTCTAACAAAACAAGCATATATTCCTTCAGATATTGAAGTCGCAATAAAAATGTTTGAACAGAAATTTCTATATATTAAGAAGTAAAATACTCTGTATGGCATGCAGGTAAGAAAATAACACTAATCAAATTTGGAGAGTTAAAAGAAGCGCTAGACACGTTATCTTATCCATTAAGGCTTGTTATATGTGCATGAAGGTGGGTGGGCACGCAAGTTGGCCTGATTTACCTTCACATTATGGAGAAATTATTGTGCGGACGCCGAACGTAATTACCATCCGGAGACCAATCAGAATGCGCCACATTAGCAGTACCGAGTCGCGGTATTGAGCAGTACTGAGTCGGATACCGAGCAAGGGGCGACATGGCACATTTTGATTGGACTTTGGATACCGGCACAGAATAATTTCACCATATTATGGGTAACCCTAGCTTCCAAGTAGAAGTCTCAATGCTCCCAATCACAAAATGCAAAAGCACAAAAAGTTTTGCTAACCCAACCAAACAAAGGTAACACTTCCTTATCATGATCTCATCTCAAGCATAGTTCAAGCTAAGACGAGCTGAAAAAAATTGCGCCTTTGGCCAGTACTTTGATTGACATTGTCATTATTAGTGTTGCATGTTTGTATTAACATAATAATATTAACACAATATAATCTTGAGCGAAATACTAAACAAATGGGCAAGAATTTTTTTGAGCTAACCTCACCTCAAAATCTCTCCAAACATCAAGGTGCGAAATCGCACAGTTAAAGAAGCTAGTTCACAATTATGGGTTCGTTTGTTATGTTTTCTTCTTACTGCTTCCGCTTCATTAAACAGTGAAAGTAGCATAAATAGTTTATTACATTATGATAATTGATAATATAAAATTTAGAAATTTGTTTACTTCAGTCATTTAATCACTCATATTAACAGCAGTTTTTGAAAATGTTACAATTCATGTATCATTTTAACTAGTAATCTTAACAAACAATTATCCGCTTTGCAAAGTAGTATAAGGTATCACAACACTATGCAGCACAACACAACAATGCCAAATAAATCTGAAAAGAACCTAAATGAAATTTTTATGGAAAGGCATTTCACGTTTTCAACGAGGTTTAATGAAGGGTGCATTTGCATTTAGTGATTAAGATAATTAAATGGTTAACAAGCCAAAATGTTATGGGCATGAATGCAGCTCATCCAAGAAAAAAAATTCAATTATTGGCATCCTTCACAAATGTTAAAAGCAAAGATCAATAACTACAAATAAAAAAACTATCAGAAGAACAATGCTAATAGTCCAAAACAAAGGTTTAGTTTTAGGAAATTCCAACAACAGAACTGTAACAGTAAAGTCTCCTCCCTATCATAGTATTTCATCTCTTCTCTCGTAATCCAATTACTAGTAATATTTATTACATTTCGAAATTTTCAATTCTGATTCCAGTTCTTTCCCTATCATTTTATAAGTATGCCAGACTCAAAAACAAGACATGACAATCAATGGAGTTAACATCACAAGAGAAGTAGATGGCTGTAAAACGAACAAAATAAATGTATTATCATAGGCAAACCTTGCTCTAGTATTTTCGACCCTTCTGATGTATGATCATTTTCAAAAGAAGCATGGTCTCCAGATTTCCTGCAAAAAACAGACATTATTATTAAATGGATAAAAAAGCGGATTGATGGTACTCTAAGGCTTCGTAAAGCAGCTTTCTAGTACAAAAATTAAATTTTTTTGTACTAAAAAATTGCTTTAAGAAGCATTAAGAAAGCCATCCCAAACGAAACATAAGAGTTCAATCAAATCATCCTTCCGCATTCATCAACCAAACCTTAGAAAAAAAAAGGCACAGAAAAGTTACCTTTGAGTTTCAGAGCTAAGTTGACGCTGTGATGACGATCTTAAATCAGAAATACCTGAATCTGATGTCCCTACCACTGGAGAATCATTGTCTTTGCCACATTTGGCATCCTCCTGTTGAAATTATCAGAAAGTAGGTCACGTTACTTTATTTACATCATATTATACAGAGAAATTGAGTGAAAAATAAAGTTCTACATTTTAGTTATTAGACTCACTTACAGATTTTAAGTCCACCCATCCGGGAATATTGTTGGAAAGAAGATTAATGTAATGTTCCATAGCTACCTCTGGTGACATGTTTCCCAATCTTTGCCAAGCTTGCCTAGCATATATCAGTCGGGGAACTCATTACTCGCATATGAAGATTTTGAACAAATAATTTAGGCTAAATTATAAATTTGGGGGTTGTTTTGTTTTAATGTAATCTAGATGTCTGCATTAATATTGTAAAAAAAAA